GTCCTCAATTTAAAACCACCAGCGAGCTTTCTACACCCATAAAGACACACACACACACACAAAATGCAGTCTCGGAAGCTGCCGGGGCATTTCTACTGTGCTCTTTGGGTTGCTAGGAGTTGGTACTGACTTGATAGGAATGAGTTGGTTGGTCCTTCTCCATCCGACATGTCACCCAAGAGGATCTCCTGAATCTCTCCTCCCTCCCGTCCTCCTCCAACTCTGGTTCCAAAAAACATGCTGTTAGTCGCCACTGGGCCAGCTCTAGTGCATGGCATGGCAACCACCTGTGCCAAAGGAGGAAGCGCCGCCCGCTCCTGCACCATTCACCTCCATCCCTGGTGTGGGCACCGTGCACGAGGGACTTCCAACCTCAGGGTCCCAGCTGCCAGGTCTCTCCTGGGCAGTATTCTACTGTCATTCACGAGGGCTCCACTGGTTATTTCAGAAATAGATTACCAGATCTTTCTTACTAGTCTGTCTCAGTCTGGAAGCTCTGTTGAAACCTGCTCACCATGGATGGCCCTGCTGGTCTTTGAAATACTGATGGAACCGTCGAGCTACCACAGTGTGACGCACTGACGTTCCATGTCAAAAAATCCTATAGTACCCTGGTCTTGTTTCTGGGACTCATGACATCTTTCCAAATATATGAAGTCAAGGGGCAAGCTCCTTGGGTCAGAGCCCCCCACCTCCCTTTCCTGCTCACACTCCTGCTCCTGGCCCAGCACCAGGCACACACCGGACACCGAGTGCCGACCTGCCGCATGGAGAATGGCTCTTCTCCCGGTGCCGCTCACCCCTCAGGTCCCCACCAACACCAAAAAGAGCGTGTAATGGGTGATTCTGCGGCTGATTTTTATGTTCCTGTTGTTTCAATTAGGAGCCCTGCTGGTGCAGTGGTTACACGCTGGGCTGCGATCCACTTGGTCGGCAGTTCGAAACCACCAGCAGTTCCAAGGGAGAAACACTGGGCTTTCTACACCGGCAAACAAAGGGTTCCAGTCTCAGAAACCTATGAGGTAGCACCGACTCGACGGTATTGAGTTTAGGGTTGACTGTTGCAATGAATTTGAAGAGTGCTGTAAAAAAAGCTTCATGAGCTTTACTGTTTACAGTGTCTACTTTGATTTTGAACTTGTTTTGCATTGCTGGGCCAGCGAACAGGATCTCTGCATTTTCTTTAAATGTTAAGCTTGCCTAGCCTGCCGGCGGGCCACTCACATGGGACATTCCTGTTTGTCGGATATAATTCTCAGTATATAACTAGCAACTGCTCATCATTTCATTTCCACAAAACGTCACAGCCATTGTTGTACACCATCGGTTCATTAGGTTGTACAGCCATTGTTGTACACCATCGGTTCATTAGGACTCACAGCCAGCCTGCTGGGCCACGTGGAAGGATCCCAGTTTCCCAGGTGCCAGCTTCACGGGGGCTGATGGTCAGATAGGATCAACTGGAGGGTTTGACCCACAGACCTTTGGGCTAGCAGTCTAGTGCCTAAGCACTGAGCCATCAAGCCTCATTTCCCCCCAGATTACTTTTTATCTGTATTATCTGTCAAGGAAGGTGATGAAAAATGTCAGACTCCCTATTGATTTCCCTCCCTGTCAATTATTACCTGCACCTTCCATTTGTGGGTGTTTTGGTTTCCAGTGTTGTTCTAATAGTAGGCCCGGTTTACATTTCTCTTCTTTAGATGGTTACGAAGGAAACTTCGCTCTCTCTCATGGCTCTATGTCAAGCATACTCCACGATGCTTGACGGTCACTGGCTCCTGTTTTTCTGCATCCATCTGCAGTCCAGGGCATGGACCACATGTCGTGGCTGGGTCTGGTTGCTTCCTGTGCCTTTCTCACAAACCGCGCAGGTGTGCCTCTGTCAGGGGCCTCCAACCTGTGGGGTTCAGGAGCCTCCTGGGAGGAAGGGCCCGCCTTTGGTTCCTATTCACGTGCACAGAGGTTCCGGGGACTAGGAAGCAGAGGCTGGGATGCCTCCACTGCTCCAAATCCTCAGGTGTGGCCGGTGGGGTGGGAGCTCAGGCCCCACTGCCGCCCCTCGGGTGCTCAGACACCACCTGGCCATGATCTTCTGTGGCTCCCAGGCTTTAAGCATTTGTGTTGGCAGCTGTCTGCGCTCAGTCCCTCCTCCTCCGTTCCTGACCTGTCTCTCCTTGACTACAGAGTGTGGCTGCAGCCATGGGGGAGGCAGAGTTGTGTGACGGGCGGCTGCCCCATCCTGCTTCCTTAGGTCACTCACTGTGCAGCTTCCCGGGTCCCGAGGGCGGCCTCAGGGGACAGACTCACCCGGCTCTTAAGTCTGTCACTCAGACAACCCCTCTGACCCCAGGGAATGAGGTGTCTCGCGCTCCGATTGGGCCCTCTGTTGTTCCCTTGGGCACAGCTGTGATCAGGTGCCCACTGGCCTTGTGGACGCGGCCCGGCCAGGGAAAGCAGGACTTCCCGGGGCTCCAGGAGGAGGAGGAGAGTCTTACCTCAAACTGGATCAGCAGCGTCCCGCTTTGCAGGCCTTTCCTCAGCTGTTCCATGGCTCCCTCTAGCGTGTCCCCACCCTCCGTGCACGCAGGGAGAATGGTCTCGGGGAAGAGCTGACTCAGTTCGTCTTCAGACTTGAGGTCAGCCAGTGAGTAGACATCTGCAAAGGACAAGGCACGCGAGTCTGGCTCGTGGGACAGCAGCCTCGAGGACTGGAGCGTGCTCCTGCAAAGAGTTTGCGCTTGCGACACCTGCGCGCGCCAGCATCTTATTAGACGATCCCACCAAAGACACCGCTTCTCGTTGAATGATTGAATGCGTGCTAAAGACACAAAGTGACAGGTGGATCCTGCCGGCTGGTTTGGGACGGTGGTTTGGGGCACAGGGAAGGGAGAGGGCGAAGACTGTTTAAAGAAAATCTGTTTTACCTCTTGGCTCTCTCTGACAGGGCTGTCCTAGCCGCCACCCCAGCCCCTACGTGGGCCCCTTAGCATCTGCTCCTTAAAAGGGCTATTTCCCAGGGCATCCGTGGGACGTCTGATGGCCTCTCCGAGCCTCATCGGGATCTGAGCGTTCAATTTCCCCGTGGGAGGCTCTCCAGTGAACACCTCTGAGCCTCAACTCAACTTCACATCAAACTCAGTGAGGGTGGGAACCAACACGGAGACCCTGTGCACCTGCCCTCCAGGGTGCTCACCCAATGCCTGCCTGTCTCCTCTCCCTTCCTTCTCCTACTTCCCAAACTGGAACCTCTGGGAGGATAGCGCGACGTTTTTCCTTTCCGCTCAGCAAGGGAAGGCCCTCCCTTGCTCAAGTACCTTCAATGGCTCCCTACTGCCCTCAGGACACCGCGGAAGAAGGGAAACGAACACCAGGCTGAACGGACTTCTTCCGGCCGTTCTCAATCAGTTGTCCTCACATCCACGTGACACTCTGACTCAGTTTCCTCAGGGAAGTGACTCTCAGGGCTGGCCCTGTGCCCAAAGTGACCGCCTCTGCTGGTCACGGTGGGAGATGGGATTTCCCACGTGTCGGACAGAGCTTGGGGGCCTCACTCCTCCCAGAGCACCGTGGTTCTCAGACGAGCGTGGGCTCTTCTGCGGCTGCCTCTGTGATTCCTGTGCTAGCCGCTACTCTCTCTGCTAGGGCTCCCTTATCAGGGCTTCTTCAAATCAACTCACTGTTTGCTTAAAGTCATCTTGCTAGTAGCCCAGTGGCATCATCCTTTCAGCTCTACCAGCTCTACCCAGCACGGTCACTCCAGGCCAGAATGGCCTCCCTGCCTCGCCGGTGCTGTCCTGCAGACTCAAGAGACTCCCAGTGGTCACCGGGTGTGTTCATGTCTAAGAAGTGGGTACCTCCCAGCCGTTAGTATCCCCCCAGCCTTACAAATCGGAGACCTTACCAGTCACTCAGCAGCGGGACACCTCAACCCCTCTGTGACTAGGTTTTTTCCCCCCAAACCCCATTGCTGTCAGGTCAATTCAGACCCACAGTGACTCTGCAGGACAGCGTACAACTGCCCCATAGAGTTTTCAGAGCTGTCAATCTTTGAAGGAACACAAACTTATCTCTTTCCTAAGAAGCAACTAGTGGGTTTGAACCACTAACTGTGCGGTGAGCACCTCACCCTACTGTACCACCAGGGCTCCTTTAGGGAAGAACTGAAGAACACAGGTGAGTGACCCTGCCAGCCCCTGAAGGTATGCCACTGACACCCCCCAAGGCATCTGCTGCATGCTGAGCCCGGAGTGCAGGCTTCCCAGCGCTGGGGAGGTGGATGGGCGTGGGGCAGGATGCACACAGGTCAGTCAGAGCCTCACGGAGGGGGTGGTCCCAGAGCTGACTCCACTGGCAACAGACAGCAAGCATGAGCTCCCGGTAATGGGCTGTGTCTATGCTGAGGCCCAGAACACCCAGCCTCAGGGAGCGAGCAGGGCAGGCATGCCCCACGTACCGGCAATAGTGTACAGCTAGCCTCTGATCTCATAACAGTGACAGCAGCCAGTCACAGTTGGGGCGGAGCGTGTCCTTCGATTGGCTCCCCTGCCTCTGGAGGCATTCTGGGTGCGGTTGAGCACCAGGATGACTTCACACCCATCATTCCTGAGTTCCCTCATCTCACACCTGAGGAACTAGAAGCCTAGCCAGAACTTTCCGGAACTCCCTCACCCTGTATGAGGCGGCGAGGCGGTGACGGGCCAGGCGGCTCTTGTGACTGCCTTCTGAACAGCCCCAGATCTGCAGGGCCAGGCTGCTCCGACCCTATGACTGGGCCAGGCCGGTTCCAGGAGGTGGCGGGTGCTGACAAGCCAGGGCTGGCCACAGGGGTCTGGGGGCCAAGTCGGCAAAGAGTTCTAAAATTTCACGTGAGTAGCCAGACATCCAAGTGTTTATGTCGAAATTGTTGATCTTAAGTGTTGGTGACAGATCCAACATGTTGAAAACACAGAATGAGTGCCAGCTAAAGCCAGCTCTCTCTCTCTCTCTCTCACACACACACACTCCGCCGTTACCTTTCCTCCTGATGACCAGCGCCAGCTCCCTCGTGTGGGACTCCCTACTGGCCTTGATGAACATCACCACCTGGTCATGGGTGTGTTCCGAGATGTCCCGGCCATTGATCAGCACAATTTGATCCCCTTCATTCAGCTTTGGAATGCAGGTATCTGCCTGTGTGGAGGGCAGGGGGGGTGGCCTCGGTTACCATAGCGTCATCCCCGTGGGGAGCCCGCTGCCATGCTCTGGTCCCAGACACTGGAGACCGCGCTGGAGGCCCTGCTCTCCCTCGGGCCTCGCTGCCGTTATTTTTATTGCTGCTGTGGGGTGAAGGGGGTAGCTGGCCGCGGGACCGTGCAGAATCACCGCTCAGACTGCCAGCAGGGAAGGTCTCAGTGAGTCGTTCTCACTGCAGTCACGCCTGTTGCTTCCCCGGCTTGTGTTTCTGGAGGCATCCCTGGGACATGAGCTGCCCATGATAGTGCCTCCACCTACTGAACTCACAGAGGCCTCAAGCAGTAAGAAAAATGAACCCCCTGCTTTGAGCCCCTGGAGACCCCAAGGAGGCACCCAAGCCCACTGCCCGGAAGTCGATGCCAACTCTGGGCAACCTGACCGGGTGGAGCAGAGCTGCCCCACAGGGTCTCCTAGGCTTTGCAGCCAAGTGAAACCATTGGGTTGATTCAGGAGCCTACAGGACAGAGGAGAGCCGCCCCACGGGTGTGCCAGGCCGTCAAGCTGGACAGAAGCAGACCGCCTCCTCTCGCTCCTCAGAGCAGCTCTGGGTTCCAGACACCAGGCTCTCTCTAGTCACCCGGCTTCTTCTGAGGAGGCGCTGCGCCTCTTGGAGGTGCTCATGCTTTAGATGTACACAGAGACGTGAGGGTGGGGGAGTAGGGATGGTGGGGTGCCCACAGACAGGGCTCATGTCCCACGCAGAGTGGGCAGGCCCCAACTTTCTTCTCTTGATCCGCTCGCCCCAAACCAAGGGGCACGCATGTCACCCGGGGGTGGGGGCTTGTTGAGAAGCTGAGTGGGTGGGTCCGGAATGGGCTCAAGAGTCTGCATTTGTCACAAGCACCAAGGCCAGGTGCAGCACCAGGCAGGTCCCAGGAAACACAGCATCCTGCCCCTTCCGCCCGGTCTGCTGCTGGCAGCAGAGGCAGGATCCAGGAGGCTGTGTGGTGGCAAGGGCAGTGACGACGGCCATGTCTACTTACAGGGGACTCTGGGTTTATCCTGGACACCACAAGAGGCATCTTCTGATCCACTCCTCCCTGGGGAACGCATAGCAAACATGAACAACACTGCAATTCACAACGACACAGAAGCACCGACATCAGCCGAGCGGCTCCTCCCTGCATGCCCGCAAGAGACGCTGGCCCGCTGCCTCGTCCTCATCACTCGATCCACCTGCCAGAAGCATGGCCAGGCAGGCTGCAGCAGTGTGGAGTCGGCTCTGAAGCCTTGCCCCTTGCCCCTCAGATGCTCCGCACTAGGGGTGCCAGTCGCGAGCACCAGGCCCCTGGCTAACGTGCAAATACCCCAGGGAAGGCCCCCAAGTGCCGCACCTTCTACGTGCTGCTAGACAAGGAGCTTTCCCGGGGAGGGCAGGTCCTTGGGAAAAGCTTCCCCACCCACCCCTCCGAGGGAAGGTCTTTAGCTGGGATTTCTGGGCACTGTGAGCAGTGGCAGCTTGGGGATGGGCAACCCCAGACCAACAGCCCTTGAGCAGGAGTGTCCGTCCGCTTTTTCTGCAGCGGGCCGGCTCATCTGTCAGTCTGTATTGTAGGTCAGAGGCCTTGTTAGCCAAGCACTTTGGCCCCTGTGGTGCAAGAGCAGCCACGATGAGAGTACCTGTCAATGGATGAGTGCAGCTGTGTCCCGAGAACACCTGGCTGCATTCTACAGAGAGCGCTGAGCCCGAGAGCATGCCAAGGGGGGAGGTGACGGGGACAGCAGCTTTAGCTGTGTTGCGGGCTCTCAAGTCTGTTGGGTTAGAGTAAGCCATCTTCGGGGGCTGAGCTGCTGGCTAACAGTGTACCTAGCCTCCCTAAGCCTCCGTAGTCATCTGGAAAGTGGGCCTACAAATACTGATGTCACAGTATATTAGAAGGTGTCGGCGGCAAGGAGACAGAAAGCAAGTACCTCTGTAGGGGACCAGGCACTGAGCCACCCCCGGGATGAGGCAGCTGCCACAGCCACAGAACAGACCCCCGTTAGGAAGGGTGAGCCCACCGCCTTACGTAGCCTGCATGCGTGGCCCACTTCTAACGGAAAACAAGTCATCTAAAGACTGTTTCCAAGCACGAGGATTCCTGATCAACACACCTTAAGGTTGAAACCAAATCTCCCATCTTCGTCCGGTGTGATACGGATCAAGAGTAAGTAGCCGTTGTCGTCGTCATACTGGAAAACGCGGGAAGTGGTCAGTTACGACGCTGGTCTCTCTGGCTGAGGATGGTCCTGTTTTCCTCTTTGAGGGCCCCCCCCCCTGCGCTCACCATCTGCGGGCTCACCTTGTCGAAGTAGTACTGGCTGGAGTCCTCGGCGGAGCCCCCTGTGGTCACCCTGTTGTAGTCCTCCAAGAACTGCTGGTCGACGCCATCTGGAGAGCAGGAGCCTGGAGCATTTGAAGACGGAGACACAGAACTGGATGACTTCTGGGTCAGGCAGCTTTGTGCTGGGTTGCTCTCGGATAGACTCCTTCATCAAGGGGAAGGAGGACATGTTTCAATGACGGGCTTCATTTTTCATCAGCGCAAACATCACAGAGTGCTGGGCTTCGGCATCTCAAGGGTTGTCCAGCGTCCCCCCTCCCCTATAATAAAAACCTTAGAGGGCCCAAAGTTCAACCACAGGGCTGTACATTGGCCTCCCTTCCCCTTGCCCGGCCGGCCGCAGCATCATCACCTGTGGTTTGGGGGGAAGGGCAGGGAGGAGGCAAGCTGTAGGCTCATCTCCCTTTCCTTTGCATCCGAGGGGCAGCAGAGGCGTGTGTCCAGCGACAGGTGGTTTAACTACTGACCTGGGCTCTGCCAGGTATGTTCCACCAGGTGCCCGTGTTGCTGTGCCTTCGGGAACCTTTTTCTTCCCCCCTCATTCCTGCTGATAGCCCTGCGGTCTAGGCTCTCAGCTAAGCAAAGGACATGTGGCTACTATACTTGCTCGGAACCGTCTGTAGCCTTCCTCCTTTGGGTTTCCTGCCTGCCCGTGGGCACTTGCTCCCACGGAGACCATGTCGTCTTTGCCTTCATCTAAGCCATCAACCAGGGGCTGGGGATTTGATCCCGACTCGTGGCAACCCCGTCGGTGTAGAACTGTGCTCCACAGGGGGTTGGACAGTCAGTATTTCAAAAGACCAGGGAGGGGGATTACGAAAGCCAAACAAAAATGCTTGTGGGAAAATGGGCCAGTGAGGTAACGGGATCATTCCGTGAACTTCTGGAAGTTCCCTCAGAGACCTTTAGGCCTCTCTTCCCAGGAACCTCTCTCTGTGTGGTCTTGGATTGGGGATCCTTTGGTTAGCAGCTCTGTGTGTGAATTGTTTGTTCCCTCAAGGGAGCCCCTTCTACTCTATGGTGTTGTCACGTTAGGTGCCGTTGGGTGGGTTTCGAAGCACAGGGACCCCCAGATAGCGGCCCGGTCCCTGGCCACCCTCACTGTCTTCCGGACGTCTGAGCCGTGCTATGAATTAGTGCTACACCGCCCAACACGGGAGCTATCGGTCATTTTAAATAATCACATCACACGGCTAGCTCTCCGGCCACATCTGCCACATTTCGGATGCTCAATTGCCGCATGTGGCTTGTGGCACCCGTACTAGACACTTGGGGCAGGATGCTCCCATCAGCCCAGAGAGTTCCACTGTATGGCGCCGTCTTAGACCATCATGGCCATCAGACCCCCGCAGAGCTCTGCAGCCACCTGGTCCAGCTCCATTCACAGCTGAGGAAACGGAGGCATGTCCAAGCTCCCAGACCCCTTCACTGAAGGGGTAGGAGCCCGACGGACGTGTGCTCCGGAACACCTCTGCCCCATCTGGGCCCCCCTAAGTCTGCTCCTAAGACTGCCCACCCCCTGCCTCTAAGCCCACAAACTCACTGCCGTGGAGCAAGTCGAGGAGCCCTGGTGGGGTGCCAGGTTCTGTGCTCAGCTGACAACCACAATGTTACCGGTTCAAACCCACTAGCCACTTATACGAAGGACACACCTTACTGGTTAACAAAGATAGACACATAGCTATAAGCAAGAATAGTTTGGCTTTAAGGTCTGAACGTTGCTAAAGGCTGCAATGCTCAACTATGAGAGAGAGGGTGTTTGGGATGCAAAGAGATTTCCGTGAGAGGGTATTCTGGAGCGAGTGGGACATTTTCAGATGGGAAATAAGACTTTAATTTACTTAAAAGGATACTTTAAAAAACGTCCTCCAAGTTCGACAACTGGAGCAATTTGTTGTTTACAAGGGCGCCGCCTAGTGGCAGAGGGGCCTGAACCTTTCATAGTTGCAAGCAGCACCTGCAGGCTCTGACAGGGGCGCTACTTGTGGCCAAAGGAGTCTCAGTCCTTGGAACGTTTGGAAGAAGGCGAAGGGAGTCAGTGTGGGGAAGGGTGAGTGGCATTTAAACAAGGATGCAAGTGAACAAAGTAGATGGAAATAGACTTCACTATATTATAGTGAAATACAATTTCACTATAATTGTAATATTAAAGAATTTGGGTAGATTGATTATACAATTGTAAAAACAAAAATTTTAAACCGTGCACAGTACCTTGAATTTGTGGGTTTCATCATCTCAGGCTTTAAAGTCTTTTCATTTGTCAATAAAGAAGTCAATGGTCTAGGTGAGACAGCCCCCCCACAGTACTAAAGGGAATATACACCAGGCCCTTATATACCCACACGTCCTTTCTACATAAAGGTTACTTTGGGATGGCTGTCCTTGCTGCTCAGTGTGGTGGACGGACAGGCCGACGAGGAAGACATCAACTAAGGCGGAGCAATAAGAAGGCGGCAAAGACAAGGGGGGCAGTTCAAAGCCACTGCCCCTGGTTGAGCAAGAGACAATGGTGGCGAACCTGGGAGCTAAGGAAGAGATGCTTTCAAGAAGGAATTAGCAAGATGACATGGGAGATGAGGGAGGCGAGTCAAGAATGGCTGAGGTTGAAGGAGCAGCCAAGGATGGCTGACGTGTCCCAACAGGTGCAAACCGGATCCCATTCAAAGGGTGGTCCCACTGGCGGAGATGGAGGAGGAGCCGGAGGCTGGACATGAAGAAGGGACCTGGATGCTGGGTCATGCTTGGGTTGAGTTTGGGCTTAAGGTATATCTGTCCGTTGCTCACATGCCAGTGGGCCCCAACCAAGTAGAAATATAGACAGGTTTAAGAGACACAACACGTACAAACTCTTATTGCAATTCCCCCCGGCTGCTGGCCTCTGCGGGAGATGCCCAGATGGCGTAGGAGTGCTCTCCCACAAGCAGCTCAGGAAGCCACTGGGGCACAGCAGAGGCTGGTGACTGAGTGTGAGAAGGGATGGGGGTGGCTGAGGCGCCGGAGTCGTTTCATCACGACCAGGTCGGCAGGTGGGACTGGACACAGGCTGCATTCGCCTTGTTCTTGCAGCCGGGCGTTTTGGATGGGTGATGCTCACGCTGGCCCAGCATCCCAAGGAGACTTCCGCACAGCTAGGGAACAACACTGGACAACTGAGCGATACGGAATCGGCTGCCATACTGGACGGGAGCCCTTTGTCACTGGCAGTGTTCCTGGGCCCTGGGTTATCAGCATAATAATTGGATAAGGATAAGGAGGATGCCCAGGGAACCTCCTCCACCGTCAGGGTTGAAGAAGGGGGTCCCCAAGGCTCCTTCTGAGGAAGGACAGCAGCGACAGCTGCTCCCAATCTCATGGAACAAGGCAGGCTCTGGATTAAGGGGCAAACAAATTAGCAACTAAGGAGTTATTAGGCAGGATGATTTGAAGCCCCAACACTCCCCCGGAGGGGACCCACCAAAACCGTGACCAGAAGTGACTTCCAGGTACAATCCTTATCTGTCCTCAGAGTTGCTTCCTCTAGTTTTTGCTCTGCCAGTTTTTTATTTCTTCTTAAGAGGACTCCTCCCCGCCACCCTCTCCACCCCATGCTTTCCCTAGGCCCGGGATGGTGGGGGCTGCCTTGCAATGGAGGAAGCTTTTTTCTCCGTAGGATTTGGTCTTGGGTCTGAAGGGAGAAAAGGAACCAAGCGGATGCCAGAGCCATAGAAGTCACCAAAGAAGACGGCCTACTTTGGGCACAAAGCAAGCTGCCAAGGCCTCAGAACTATAATCATAAACGTGGCTGCGCTGCTATAAATATGAGCCGAGCCGGCGAGTGACTCATGCACTGCGATCCTCTTCAGAATGCCACTCTGGTTCAGAGCCAGGCCTGTGTTCTTCCTTCCTCCCTTCTTTCAGAGATGGGCACAGAACATTACACTGAGTGCTTCTAAAAGGAGTGCCCCCCCCACCCCGCCCTCTCCAGATTATGCATCTGATTTCTCTGACATTTCTTTTAGCCTCTTCACACAAATCTGCTGTAGAAAACATGTCAAACATTTCTTAAACATTTTGCAAATATGCGCTCGAGACCCAGCACAGGCTTCCCTGCCGAGCAAAGACAAGTTTCCTTCTTTCGTGCCTCGGGCAGCGGTGGGGACCCAGGCTCTCAGGGAGAGGCTGGCCTGCCCAGGAAGACCCAGCAGGAGGAGGCTTCTCTGCAGGCAGGAAGAGGCCCCACCAGCTGGCGTGGTCAGGATGCCAGCCTCCGAGCTGTGCTCCCCACTTGCAAAGCACAGATGTGTGTTCCCTGGCCAGGCTGCGCCAGGTCATGCTGTGAGATGTCTATTGTCAATGCACCTGGCGAAGCCATGGCGAGGAAGGGCATGCCTAGAGATCTCCGTTAAGGACTATTTTAGCTGCAGAGTAAAATGTGCCCCAGGGAGACACATTTTCACAGAGGCGTTCCAAATGGAAATCAATGTTTGCTGCTGTGGAGGGGCCGGGTGGGTCAGGCCGGGCCAGAGCTCCCTTACACAGAACCTGAGGAAGAAGTCCATTTTCAATGTGATCTAATTTTAACCCGTTTCAATGTAAACAATCTCACGTGGCTGGAAGCTCAGGCACGGAAGTCTGGGAAGCACCGTCATCCCCTGCTGCAGCTGCAGAGCACAGGGTGGGGGAGTCCCCAGATGTAGGAGACAGGCAAGTAACTAGGCTTCTCAAGCCCTCCAATTCCTAAACCTTTCTTCCAAAAGTGCCTGAGCCTCACGCTGTGACAGCGCCACTCTAAGGGCGGCTCAGGTACTGCCTACCCAGCTGACCTGGTGGCTTGAACGAGGCTTGGGCTTCAAACTCCCTTCCGTGCTCCCTCTAGGGCCAGCAGTGGGGGGTTGAAAGGGTGTACTGCTGGGAGTACAGAGGGAGGCACTCCTTGACTCCCGACTCACTGCAAGGAGTCCATTCTGACTCCTGGCGAGCCTACAGGCAGGGTAGAACCGCCCCGGTGGGTTTCTGAGACTATAATACTTTACAGGAGGAGAAAGCGTCATCTTTCTCCCTCGGAGCGGATGGTAGTTTTGAACTGGTGACCTTGTGCTTAGCAGCCCAATGTGTCATCAGGTCTCCTATAATAGGCCCATAAAACCAGTGGCCATCAATTGACTCTGCGCCATGGTGACCCCACACGTGTCAGAGTAGAACTCCGCCCCACATGGCTTTTCGACGGCTGATTTATTAGAGATAGATCGTTAGGCCTTCTTGTGAGCCTCTGAGTGAACTGCAGCCACCAAGCCTTTGACTGGCAGTCAAAAGCCTAACCAACTGCAGCCCCACTCCCTCTTCCAGGTCCAAGGGACTCCGGGATGTCCATGCATCACTGGAAAGACACATCTATCCTCTACTGGGCCTCAGGGCTCTCCGAAGTCAGTCAGCCCAGACTGGGCGGTGGGTGGGGTGAGGTGGGGGCTGGAACTGCCCATCCTGCAAGCTAGCTTATGCTCCCAACTCCCACACACGCTGTTTCCTTTTGAGAAATGTCCTTTCACTTGCAGGCATGCCGGGCCCTGAGTCCAGACACGTGTGGTCTGTGGTACTTCCTGCAATGTCTGATTCTGTGCTGGTCAACGGGGCAGCCACGGGCCACAGGTAGAGGCCGGCGTCATTGAGAAATGGAATTTTAACATCTAACTCTAAGGAATCAAAGTTTGAATCGCCAGGCCTGGCTAGAGGAGACTGTGCTAGGTAGGGAGGGCCCTGAGGCCCTACCATTGCGTTCGGTGTGTGCTGACCAGAGTGGGAAGGCTAGTCATCAGAGACGAGCGAGGGAGGTCTTTCGGCCTACCTCTTTCCCCCGCAGGACAGAGCCTAGACACACAGTGGCTTTCGTCTCCACCCTTGCTTTGTGTAACCGGGGGCGTTCAGAACACAGTGGTGCTGGAAGCCATAGTTGCGGTGGTTGGGGACACAGTGGGGCTAGTAAACTCACACCCCAGAGGGAAGGGAGATTTGCAGTTCACCTGTAAATGCCGCCAGGATGAGCAAGCTGTGTTTCATGCTTTAAGCCCAGGAACTGGAGTGACCGGCGCTGACAGGTGAAATACTGTGCCAGCATTCTTACTCACCGTCTGCTCTTAGGGAGGCATTGTGTCTATATTTGGGACCAAGTGTGGGACTTGACAGACTGGGTACACAATGAGTACTACTAGTTGCAACCTTATTTAAAAACACATTTTGGCTTATACTGTCAACATATTTATGATCTCTACCTCGTCTGCTTTGGATGAAACTCAAGATAGCTCATCCTTAAAGGTACTCAAGGGCTCTGAGGTAGGGGAGAACTGGATTTGGTAAAACGTAAGGAAACATAAAGGCAAACAAAGAGACGAGACTGCATCAGGAGCGGGGCTCCGAGAAGCCGATGCAGTGAGCTTGACATGCAGTTCTGGGTCCCCTGGTGATGCCGGCCAAAGAAAGAACTGGCAGATGAGACACATCTTACCGCAGGATCAGAGCAAAACCCTCCGCCAGAGAGACAGATCCCCCCTGGCCTTGAGCAGAGCCATTTGTCATCCAGGGAAAGAAGAGAGGGGACACTAAAGAATGGAATGCAAACGGTCCTTGGCAAATTTCAAACCAAGGCAGAAGTGACGTTCTAGAAATGCTCTCCCGCTTAAAAAAAAAGAAGAAGAAGAAGAAGAAAGAAAATGCCGCATGGGTACACTGATTCCGAGAAGCTTACTGAGGAGACAGGTGAGAGCTGCAGAGCCCTGAAATGCCACAGACCCTTGAGAAATGACAGAGTCAACATGGCCCTAGAGCCAGAGCTCTCCAATACGAGACCCAGGCTGAGGAGCCGACCACCCGAGAGATTCGCAAGAAGCTGCTCTTGTCTGTAGGCAAACAAAGTCCATGCGCTGGACACCGGGCGCACAGGCTGTCTCCAGGAGGGACGTGGGGTCTGGCTGTGCGCTGACCCTGGCAGAGCTACGGGGCCAGCCAGAGGCAAGCCCGGGCCCTTGATGCCTCTCTGAGGGGACCTGGGTCTGCCAAAGTCCCCCGAGCCAAAGCAGCGGACACACAGACAGACAACTGCGCGAGCCCCTTACTCTCGGTGGGGGCTTCGGTCCTGGGAGGCCTCGCAGTCGCTGTCCTTTGGGGACAGGGAGCCCTTGTATGTGTAGAAGACGTCTTCTGTCTCCGTAACGTACGTCATCTCGTGGGCGAGGTTGTCTGCCGAAGAGTGCCGTGGCTTGCGAAGCTCGTGCCGGAGCCGGGGGCTTCGCCTGGGGGCGGGTGGCATGGAAACAGAAGCAAACGCCGTGTAAAATGTCTTACAACAGCCGCCGGGAGCCCTGGTGGCGCAGTGGTGACGCGTTGGGCTGCGATCTGCCCGATGACTGTGGACAGTTGGAAACCACCAGCCGCTCCGCAGGAGGAAGTCTGGGCTTTCTACTCCCGTCAACAGTTACAGGCTCAGAAAACCCACCGGGGGCCGAGACAAGTCAGCCTTGTCATGGTAGTGAGTTTGGTTTGGGGGGAAGACATCAGTCGCCTAACTTTGCAACTTCATAGTTCTCAGAATGACCTGACCTGACTGCCCCTGTCAGAGCCCCGAGCTGGTGAAGCCCTGGCCACACGAGGAGCAGAGCTCAGGAAAGGCGATGCCACCCGTCAGGTGAGGTGGCCCCTGAACGGCAGTGCCAGCGCGACAGGCGGGCAGGGCTGACGGGTGTGCGCCCTCGGGGAAGTGGAAGCGTGTGGGTCTGGAGTGAGTTCTTCCGGGAAGACTCAAGCTCTCAAGACACAGATGGCCCTGCTGACTGCTGGTCAGACAGTGTGCCTGAGCCACTCGCCGTGTAAATACAGGGCTCAGGTGCCACTGACAAAACCCCATCTCTATTTCAACCACCACTCTTCATGCGCATCTCCCCTACACCAGAGAGAATGTTTGCGTGCTTTGAAACAACGCTTTTTAACCAGAGTGATACTGGTTCTTAGCCACCCCAAGGACAGAGGAGAGCTCCCCCCGAGGGTTTCCGAGGTGGACAATCTTTGCAGAAGGAGACGGGCACATCTCCCTCTCTTGGAGGGGCTGCTGGGTTTGAACAAGCCAATGGCAGCAGTAGCCACGTGACCTCAGACACAGCATGTCCCTTCTCTGGGCCTCAGCTGTCCCTACCTGCTCCGGAGAATTCAGCAAGACTCTGGGGTCACCTGGGGCAGTCCCTGGGTGGTGGCTCCTCCACATTCTCCTTCCCCTTTCTGTTTCTACCTTCCCTTGTTTGTTATCTGTCTTCTGGGCCTGAGTAATTGCTATCATTCCACCCGGGCCCAGGAATCAATACCACCGTGTCTAAGGCAGCCGAAGAGAGGCGCTCCTGGTTCTCCAGGGGGGACCTATAATTAGCGCCACTGCGCCAGGCTGTGAGTGTGGCACCAGCTCAGCCGCCGCTCTCCTGGTTCCTGTCCTGGGGCCTACGCTTTGGGCTCCTGGCATGGCTGTTTAAGATATTTCCAGAAGAACGAAGCTGCTGTCTGAGAGTATAATTTCACCACTTCAGGATGAGGTGTCTAAATTTTGGGAACCGAAACACATGCCAATTCAGCCTTGTCATATTTCAGCACTGTAAATGCCACCACCTTCCCCAACAGGGGCCCTGGGCCCAGTACAGAGTCTGGGCACCGCTGTCCTGAGCGCCTCTCTCCTCTCTTCACTGCGCTCAGTGTCCCTTTGTCCCTGGGAGCTGCTGCCTGGGGACCTGCAGGCCCAGCCTTTCTATGATGTGACAACCCAAACGCCCCACTTTCCCTGCAGTGTGGAGCTGGGGCCAGGTTTCCCCTTCTCCCAAGGCCTGGCCTTTCCCAGAGGCACGCAGGGAAATGGCCTCGCGCGGGGAGCAGCATAGTGAAAGAATGATAATCATGTCACTTGAAGCTTTTTCACAGCTTTTACGATAACCCTTGCACATTACTATGTCAGTTCTATATGCGGGGAAGCTGAGACCAGAGGGGAGGAGAGAAACTTGGGAGTTTACACGAGAGCCCAAATCTGAATCTGGTGTTTCAGCTGCAGCCCGGTGTCCTTCCTACTCTGCCAAACTGCCACATTCTGCCTGCGAGCCGGGCCCATGGACATAACAGTTGGCAGGTGGCCGCCCCCTGTGTCCATCTGCTACTGCCGCTGAGGGTCCCACGGCCCTCTTCGTGGGCCTTCATCCTGCCCCTTTTTGAGTTTGTCCTGAAGCTCCCCCCACCCCACCCCCGGGTCTGATGTCAGTAGGAACATCAAACGAAATGCAGCCCGTGTGCTTCTTGATCACAGGGCTTCTCGGGGCCTTTCCCAAACTCCTGTGCTCAGCTGCCCAGAGAGGGCAGTTCACCCCCACGCTGCAGTTCCCAGTCGAGCCCATCATCACGCCTCAGAAAAGGTTTGGGTGGACGGCGTGCAGCAGCCTACAATGCAAAGGTAAGCGCAGAGTATGGACTGCCTGCAGGCAGGCATGCAGGCCGCTGCATTCCCATCCTCAGGAGCGGCAGTGCTGACCAGTGAGCAGGGCAGGAGGAGGGGGACCTACCAGTTGGGAGTGATGGGCGGGGACCGAGAAGGCAGGCTCTTGGTTTCCAAATGCTCCACCGAGAGCGAGCTCCACGTGGCTGGGTTCCACACCATGCCGCCAATCACCTTTTTGCAATACTGGTTGCTGAGGGACCTGAAAAACCAGGGACAGGTTCACGTTCGCACCTTGCCGTGTTTCACCCGAAAGGGCCCGTGGCACAGGTGAAACCATCTACACAGGCGCCTTCCCGGACCAGCGTGCGGTTTCCCTGGGCGACACCAACCAAGGTCGGGCAGGAGAGAGAAGCAGGCCAACAGCGATGTCTGTCTGTCCCGGCTTTTATCCGGGACATGTCATCTCTATTCTGTCCTCACTCGTGCACGCAATACCACCGTGCTGCACTGGAAGGCACTTGGAATAATAAGAAACGAATTCAAGCAACTTCGGGGAAATCTTCCTTTGTCCCCTCTGGCACGAGCAGGTAAGCATCAGCTGTCCCCCTCGGTGTCTGGGCCAGTCAGTATACCGGTCACAGACCTATGCTATACACCAACGATGACTCTTTGAGAAAGGACCCAAGAATAAGTTTGGAAATTAGAGAAGTTTCTATTCAGGCTACATGCTTCGAGTGTGCTACTTGGAGGGTTACTTTGGAATCTTATGAGTAAGTAGAAACCTCAAATCTTAGCGAGCTAGAAAACCCAGAGAACCAGTCTTCTCTCAGAGAACGGCATTTGAAGCCAGATCAGAGTTAACGCTGTCCATTCTGGAATTCCTCACTTTTAAACGACGCTTCAGTGTTTTCGAAAAACCTTCTGCATATTGCCTTGTGGTCCCAAACCAACCAACATACAAAAAAGCCACAATGCAAGACAGCCAGGATCGCACACAGCGCTCTCGGGGTGCCAGCGCACTAACTGGCAGGATGACACACCGCCGCCTCCTGCTCACGATGCTCATGGCAGCATCGCCAAGGTGGGTCCTCTGAGACCGCTCTACCCCAGAGACCAGCCCAAACCACCACCTGCTTCGGGATTGGCTCTGACTCCTGGTGCCCCGTACTGCAGAGCAGGATTGCTTCACAGTTTGTTTGCTCAGCTGTGATTGATCGACGCACTGTCACGGCTTTCTTCTCGGGGGCACACTCACACACCTTTGCGTTAGCAGTTCAGCAGACACGATGGCTTCACCCAGGGATGACCTACCACTCACAGGGAGCAGGGGTCAGAGCAAGGGGAACGAGCTGGGTGGCTCCAAGGGTGTGTGCTACAGTTCCCCCTGCATTTTTCGAAAATCATTTCTTTTTTTTTTTTTAAAAAGCAAGGGGATGATTTAGACATTAGAAGAATAATTTGATACACAATTTCTGCTACATCTTATCTAACTTAGCAGGTTTTTTTGCAGTCAATAAAACAAGAAAGACAGGTAAAACATAAAGCACAAGGTTAGCTGGTATAGAGTCTCGGTACATTTCCATTCGCATCAAACGTAAGCACTTCTCTGTTCCTTTCTCTCACGGTTTGGGTGATTAACTACTTCGAATGCCATCTCCGCGGTATCACCCTATGAGTGAAGTGTCATAAGGAATGTGACTGGTACAAAGCAAACACTCAGACCCGCCACTCTGGCTACCAAGCTAATTATCTCCTCATGACGATAAGAGAGTTTGTCCCCAATGCCGTCTGACTCGGTGGCTAGTTGTCACTGGCTGATTTTGAGTTATGGTCACCCCAGGTGGCCGAGGGGGTGGTGTCCCCCATTGGGTTTTCTTGGCTGCAGCTTCGATGGAAGCAGATTGTCATGTTTCCACCCGTGAAGTCCACTGAGTAGGTGTGAGAAGCTAGACTTTGGTTAGCAGCCGAGCACTTCACTACTGCGCCAGCAAGGTTCTTTGTTAGACTCCCAAGCTCTTTCTTTCCACTCCTGGCCTCCTTCATACTTGTGTGTGGCTGTGCACTTACTTTCCCGTGAAACACACCGGGAGGGGCTGGCCCAGGGGCACGGCCCAGAGAGCCCAAGCGGTGCTGTCTGTGATGGCAGTGAGCCGTCGCCGCACACTGCCTGCACAGTGACCAGGGCCAGGCCAGCTGCCAGCCTCTGCACCTTCAGACTGGTCTTGCCCATGCCTCTGACACACTCACTTTTGGGAGTTCCTGGAGCCCAGCACCCAGTACTGAGACAGAACATTCTTTTCCTGAGGTAGCAGCTTCTTGGCCTGAAAGAACGTGTGGTGCTCCACGCAGGATTTCCATAAGGTTTTGCAAGAGCGGTAATTTAACATGTTGAAGGACACGATACGTTCCCTGGATTCCGTCTGGGAAGAAAAAACACAACCGCGACGTCATCTGTGAGGGTGTAGGAGCGAGGCCTTGCCTGCCTGCCATTATTCATGCCCTCACTGGGGACACGGAGGGAAGGTGCAACAGACGAGGCCCTGGCTTGCAAATCCTGTGGGCTCCAAACCGACTTTATAAGAAAACCCAAGAGAGGGATCAGTTCATCATGGCTGTTGTTGGGAGACTTAGGCCCATTCCCACGTTGACCCACCCCAGGTGGTGGAGCAGAACTTCCCCACGGGCCCTCTTGGTTACAACCTTCACCGAAGGAGACACTGGCCCTTTCTCCCTCGGAGACAATGGGTGGGCTCAACCAACTAACCTTGTGGTTAGCAGCTAACCCACTGCATCACCAGGGCTCCTTGAAGCCCACACCATATGGGCAAGGTGATTAATGGCCAATATCAATTCTTTAACATCATCAGTGGTCTTCATGAGCAAGTTTATTTCAAGTCTGCTTAAATTCCTAAGTTGGTTATATCTGAAATCATCAGATACAGGTTTTTTTTTTTTTTTAAGATTTAGCTCCGGGGAACTCGCTCTTGAAGAACTTAGCTTTTTCTCATCAGTCAACTCAAATCAAAACCCACAGTCATCAAGCTGATGCTGACTCATAGCGACAGAGTAGAACTGGGTTTCCATGGCTGCAAATCTTTATGAGAGCAGAGAGCCTCACCTTTCTCCCCAGGTGTGGCTGGTGGATTTGAACTGCTGATGACTCCACTACACCACAGGGCTCCTTTACAGCCCAGCAGGGGTCAGATAATCCTTTGAAGTCGGGGGGACATCAGGGAAAAAGCCCAGTTCTATTCTGATTCACAGGGGTCCCCACGAGTCGGCGCTGACTCAAAGGCAGGGAGGAGCGAGCGCGCTCCGACAGAGAGAACTGGACTTGGGCGCCTGGCGTTCTCTAAATGATGCATTTCCTTATCTGGCTAGACAGTGTTTGGGCCTTTCAGGACAGGTAGGACGACCGCCCCTGTGGGTTTCCGAGGCTGTACATCCTTAAGGGAGCAGAAAGCCTCGTCCGCCGCCAGTGCACAGGCTGCTGACCTAGCGGTTGACCTAGTGGTTAGGCACCAGGGTTCCTTTAAAGAATGAAGAGCTAAAGTGGCTCAAAAACACAAGGGACAAAGGAGGTGCGGCTGTCACTTACCTGTTTTTGCCGCTGATGTATAAAGAACTTTTTCCTCTTGAAAGAAATCTTCAGAATGTTCACCCTACACAAAGGCAAAAGGCCGAAAACGCATCAGTGACCAGCCAGGGTGGAGCTGTGACTTCTCAAGCCCTACCCTCTGGTCCAGTCATGGTGGCAGGGCCGCCCAGCCTCCTAGCATCGACTGGGATGTCGGAATGAGCAGCATCGCCGTCTTAGCTCAACAGCAAGCAGCACAATAAAGCTCGGTGCCACTAAGTGCCAGTGGACTAGACTCTAGCGTCTAAAGAGCAAGAAAGGAGCCACATACCCCACTTGCCGTCAGCCGCTTCTGGGTGGCTGGCATGCTGTGTGAGCTGGTGTGGACCTGGGCAGGTGGCTGAGGACAGCCATTGCAGCTGACAGCCTGGGGCTCCCATCCTTGCCCTGTCACTTCCTAGCTGTGTTAATAATTGGACAGCTACCCTGTACTGAACATCTTTTATGCACCAGGCTCCTGACTGGCAGCTTTACAAGCATCCCCCGGTGAAGCCTTGCAGCCATCATGAAAAGTCCCTCACCATGATACCCAGTTTTCAGACAAGGGCTTGGAGACTCAGCGATAGCCGCTAAGTGCCCAAGATCATTTAACTAAGAAGGTGTGACGCTCTGGCCTTGTATGACTGCAAAACCCATGTTCCCATAGCGTCATCAGGGCAGTGGGGAGAACACTGCCATTCTCAGACTCTGTCTAGAGACGGTTCAGGGGGGTTAGGATGAGAGTTCCCGGGAGAAGGTGGGTCCTCCGGGTTCAGTTCTGAAGCTGAAACCAAGACAGGGCTAACGTGTGGAACGAACTAACAAGAAGGGCACACTGCCACAACCAGAGCCTGTGCTGCTGATGACATACAGGGACGCTGGACACTAAATGAGGAGCCATGGTTATCAAGATGTCTAGACTGGCAAATGCGTTGGACTGCTGGACAAGTGAGTTTTACGAGTGACTGATGGAGAGTTGGTTCCGACTCACAGCAGCCCTGCGTGAGAACACAACGAAACATGGCTGGACCGGTGCCAGCTCAGAGCGAGGGCTGTGCCTGCTGTCGCAGCCACTGTGTTAACCTGTCTGTCGAGCGACTTCCTCTTTTTTGTTGCCCTTCTGGGAGACGGGAAGTTACTCTTTTGAGGGCCGAGTGAGTGTGTGGTCTGTAGGGACCCTTCGTAGCGAAGGTTACTTTCGGCCCTGCCTGGAGATGAAGAATATGCCGGGTCGTTCTTATGGGGGCGACCGTTAAGGGGTCTGTGGGTACGGACTGACTGTGGGAGAAGTTCGGGGTGCCCCTGCGGTTCAGTGGATTACCTGATTTAGCCCTTCTAGCGATAGTCTGCCATTCCCACCAAATGGCTTTGCAAATGTGGTGCTTGTGGCCCACCAAGGGGACTGGACAGCTGGCTAATAAGTACCCGGCAGTCTTGGCATGGAGCATATAAATGAGGTATATGAAACCAATGTAAAGATCGGTTTTGACATCTCGGTAGGTTTAAAATGAGCCATCTCAGGAACAAGGATGAAGAGCCAGAAGTAGGGCATGTCTTGAAGACCCAGGATCCCTGCCCCGAACCTCCTCCTCCATCCAGGACACAGAGCTCTTTGACCCCGCAGGGGCCGAGGCATGAGAAGCGGAGGGAGGACAGCAGAGCTAGGCGACTGGGCAGTGGGATGCCTGCTTGGGCTTTTGTCTGGGGAGCTAGGTTTGTGAACCCACAAGGGTAGGGCTGAGCATCTTGGGACTGAGGCTTAGGGCAGAGTGGAGTGCCCTTCTGGCATGGACCGGCAGAGTTGAAAGAACTTTGTAACCTTTGTTCAAGCAGGTCATGAGGTCCAGGACCTGGCTGTGCCTGTGAACATGGCTGGGAAGAGGCTGTCCTGATTGAAGAACTGTACCTTGAGCCTTCCTGATCCTGAATTGTAACCAGTTACTTCCCTCATAAGCCTGAGTATTCTCTGTAATCCTGTGTGGCTACTGCAGCACCTCAGTGACCCAGCAGAGAAGAGGAGTGCTCTGGAGGTCAGAATTGGTAAACCGGTTGAAGGGTGGGGGCAAGTCTAACTTCTGCTTCCTGGGGAGTTGGCATGGTGCAGCCGTTGCTATGATTTTGACTCTCCTCCACCTTGGGACAATGAGACGGGGTCAGGCATTGCCTCCACGCCAGTCTCCCTGTCAGGGATTCCTGTCAGCAAAAGAAACCAAGAAACACTGTTGCTTTTGAGTTCTCACCCTCACACTAGGGGGCCCTGCTGGACCTCCTGGGGCTGAGGGTGCTCCAGCTCAGCGCTCCCTCCTTCTCATGCCAATCCCTGTTTCTGTACTAGGCAGCAGTGTTCTCCCCTTGAGCAAGGCTGACCAAGTGTGGGGAAGAGCTGTGTTGTTCCTGGACTTGTAGTCCCTACCACCCTCCATCGACTCACCAAGGGAACAAATGTTAGGAGTGTCGAGAATGTATGAGGAATGAGCCTGGGGACACAGAAGGAACAGGACTGTCAGTCACTGCCATCTCGAAGCTCATGACTTAGAGAGGTGCAGGTGCCAAATATACCCTTATATATATATAAGGGACACAGCTACATCATTCGACCATTAGAGCCCTAGAGATCGAGTCTATGTTCCCACTGCCCTGGAGACCTATGTGACCTCTCCTTGTCCCCCCCCAGACTCCGGCCTGCATCTCCCCCGCCCCACCCCGTCCTCCTCTTCACTCACTGTCCTGTGTGATCTCTTGTCCCAGGACCTCCAGGTAAGCTGCTCATTCCGTCTAGAATTTACTCCCTGGGGCTCAAGTCCAGTGGGCCTTCCTGTACATTAAGCGCTCACCTCCACCTTGGTGGGCTTGGGGCCCTGCCTGGGTGCTGCCCTTCTCTGGGATGTGGCCCTTTGTACCAGGCTGATGGCCTTGGGGTCACTGTCTGGCGTGACCTGCCTCCTTGCTAGGCTGTGCTCTGCACCAGAGGCAGGGCCAGGCCTCCACAGGAGCGTGTTGATTTTGAAGGGCGAGGGTGACTTAGGGCCTACGTGTACGCCTGGGGGCTGCTTCCCACTTCCCTCATACTGGAGCGTGCCACCTCTACAATGCACTGAGCCCCAACCCCTGAACCTATATGCGCAACTGCTCGGGAATAGATTCCCTGTTTCATGCTAGTGAGGTCATGGATTAGATCTTAATCCTAATTACTTCTAAGTGGTGTCTTAGAGAAGGAGCGGAGTAAACAGATATAGGGACATACACACACATGCTCCTGCAGGGTCTTCAGGGGACTCAGATCCTCCTGAAACTTGACAGTCTAGACCCCAGCTGGAGGACCATAGGAGGCTGAGCTCGAGAGAACTGGGCCCAGAGGCTGTAGGCTTGCTGCATTTGGGGGAGCCCTGGGCATAGGAGAGGCCAGGTGAGAGGAAATGAGCCCTTAGCCCAACTGCTGTCGTGCGCAGGACAGAGAGCTGCCTGGCTCACAGCTGAGCCTTTTTTAACAGAGCCTAGGGAAAAGAAAGATGGTGAGAACACCCTTTACCAGTTACACGGGTTCTATTGTTAAATTGAGCAAAGTTATTAATAATTTTTGTTTTGCTTTTGAAAAATTTACATTAGAGGGTGAATTGAAGATGCAATATATATTCCGACTCAGCATTTTCTCCTAAAGAGAATTTTTAACAGTACGAAGCATAACCAAAGGACAGCCTCTGGGCCCAGACCTATCTGGGTTTGAATTCCAAGCAGACCCCTCGCTGGCGGTGGGGCCTGGAGCACGTTGTTCCTCTGGGCCTCCACTTCCACGGCTGTGAAAACGAGCACCGCGGCAGTGCCGTCTCAGGCTTAGGTCAGTACTCCACCTTCAGTACCCAGTAAAGCGACACCTTACTATAAGCAACAGGTCCTCAACAGCTAGGACAACTGTTGTTACAGGCCCTGATTTCACGGAGCTTCTTGACAGGTGTTTCTTTTTGTTGCTGTTGTTATAACTAAGGCTGGACGGACATCCTCGTGTCCTGGTGGTGGAGGTTATGCTGCTGACATGACGGCGCGAATTCAGGTGCAAGGACCAAGCTGGGTGGCCCCGAGCTCACCCTGACTCCAACTATTCCTATGCCACTTACCTCGATTCCATCCTTGTGGCCCCTATTTCACCCAAAGCCAGGCCCCTTTCTACTCCGCACTTTGCCTCCATGGATATCGCTGCGCGGTCCGCTGGCCTCGGCTCACCTGGCTCTCTCATGCTGTGCGCCATCACACTGTCAGTCATGAAGATGGGGCTTCTCCCACGCTGCTTCCCCCAGAAGCAATGGCCCCAATGCCTAGCACACTGAACCCTAACTTCTCTCTTAAAGAGCCAGCTCCACTCACCGAGTCACACCTGATGGCCGTGCCTTTACAAAAAGAAACCCAGTGCCCTTGAGTCTGTTCTGAGTCTAGTGACCCCGTAGGACAGAGGTGAACTGCTCCTGGAGGTTCCCAATGCTGTCACTCGTTACCGGAAGCGGATGGCCTCATCTTTCTCCTGTAGGGAGGCCGGTGCGAACAAACCCTTTTGGTTAGGAGGCCCGAGCTTAACCTACTGTGCCACCAGGGCTGTTTCTTACACTGTTAAGGGCACAGACATTCCTTCTCTCCACCAGACGCAGGAGCTGAGAGGGTAAACCCTGCTGCACATGTCATCTGGGGCTTCTCAGTGTTTAGCACAAAGAGCTCTGGTGACTTACGTATTGGACTGCTAACCTCTAGGTCTGACGTTCTAACCCACCAGCCGTTCTGTGGGAGAAAGATGAGGCTTTCTGTTCCCATAAAGAGTTACAGCCTCGGAAACCCACAGGGGCAGTTCTATTCTTTCCGACAGGCTCCCTGTGAGTCGGAAGAACTGGACAGCAGTCAGTGAGTGAGCGAGGTTCGCCCAGAGCCGGACTTGGTAAAAGTTCAAAGAATGACTGAGGTGCAGGAATGACCATGCTGGCCCTGCACTGCGGCAGCTCTTCTCTGACTTCTGTCCTGGGCACTGCCCGGGAAGGAGTCTGAAATTCCAAGAGGGTAAAAGCGCCTGTGCCAGTCTATCCACCGCGTCCCGACCCAACACCTTGAACTGTACGTGGCTCTTGGGTAGAGGATGCTGAAGAAAACCTTGAGGAAAATCCCTCCCAACTTCTTCAAGCGAAAACCCAAACAAAACAAAACAGTACTGTTGGCGGGCATACTTTCAAAGCAGGGTTCAGCAAGTCATTTGAGCTAGTTTGCACCTACCAGGGGTAGAAACTTGTGCAAATGTACTTCCGGTACACGGCGATGCCCGCCGAAGCAACCCCGATCATCAGATCCAAGTTGTGCAGATCCTGTCGAGAGAAAAGGGTGTGAAGCCACCCCCAGAACAGTCAGGTGGTCGCTCTCCGGCGACTTCCCCGCACCCACGCTTGTATACAGAGCAGTACGTCCAAGCCTTTGAGGGGAGATTACTGGAAACAGACAAAACTCCCCGCTTTGTCCATACTTGAGGTCCGAGGACTCAGCACCGAATTCTCCTCGAGTGAACAGACGTGCAGCCTGACAGCTGGTTCCGGGACTTACAGGGAAGCCCATTCATTTCAGGATCACTGACGTGAGTGTTGCGTTTCAACACCTTCTGTGAGATGACCGCATTAACATCACAGAGGCCGCTCCCCGCCACTCAGCCTCAGACACCTCTGGACCACCAGCACCGAAAAGCCTCGAGCTGTTACAAGAAACTCACTTCCGTAGAGCCCACACGGACACAGTGGCCCTATAGGACAAGGGAGAACTGCCCTGTGAGTTTCTAAGACGGTAACTCTTAACAGGAGTAGAAAGCCTTTCTTTTCTCCTAAGGAGCGGGAGGTGGTTTAGAACTGCTGATCTTGGAGTTAGCAGCCCAATGCATCCCCACTACTCCGCCAGGGCTCTTGGCTCTTACCATGTGAGGATGAAAATTTAGCCACATCGACCTGCTGACTGTAGACCCAGTTGAGAAAGAAATATTGCCTGTTAATTTAATGTATTGTTAAAAATGAAAATTTGGCAATCCTAACTGTGCACATGAACACACGAGCCCATACGCACATTTAATATTGTTATTAAAAAAATAACCAAAAACCAGTTCTTAACAAATATGGATGAGATTAATGGGGATTGCTGAACCAGGTCCTGATTGCCTAGCTTACGGCTCCCTTCCTGGGAGAGTCAACTGATTACATTAGATTTGGGTTAAGCATTTACATGAATTAGAAACAGGTTTGCTGACATGGGGCTCCACACAAGGGACTCTGAGGTGAGGGTAGGTTATGAGCTCTGGGGTGTCGTGATGACACATTGGACTGCTCATTGCAAAGTCCGCCCAGCTTATCTGAGGGAGAAAGATGAGGCCGTCTATCCCCATAAAGATTCAGCTGATCCCAGGGCCGATTCAAGGGAGGTTGGCCTATTTGGATAGTCCAGTTCAGGAGCCTCGATGTTGCAGTGGGTGAAGTGCTGGGCTGCGAACCGCAAAGCCAGTGGTTCAAATCAACCAGACACTCACTGGGAGAAAGACAAGGCTGTCTGTTCTTAAAAAGGCTTACAGCTGTCCTATATACTCTGTCAAGTTGAAATCAACTCCACACAGCAACGAGTTAGTTCATAGTCAAGTTAGAATTCCTGGTGGCTCAGTAGCTAAAGCAATTGACAGTCATCTTAAAGGTGGACGGTTCAGACCCACCAGCCACTCCAGGGGAGGAAAACACACCATCTTAGACGCCCTATGGGGAAGTTCCACTCTGTCATATCGCTCTGAGTTGGGTTCAGCCTGGCGGCAATGAGTGGTTTGCTCCTGTTTTGGCCAGGTGGACCACATTTAGCATCTGTGAGGAGGACCCTGTGAGCCTCCACCTCATCAGGGCAGCTACAGAACGAAAAGGAAGACTGTAAGCTGTTCCAGGGGGACAAAGGATGGTCCAGCAGCCAACTTCTGAACCCCAGTTTTCTCCTCTATAAAATGGGATGATGACTGTTCTCACTAGGGTGCCACCATCCTTAAATGAGATCCGAAACATGAAAGCATTTAGAACAAACGGCCAGCACCGAGGAGATGCTCAGTCCACGGTTCTGCTCTGTCCTGGGGGTCACTGGGAGTCAGAACTGACTTGATGGCTGTGTGTTTGGTTTTAAGAGTATTTTTCTTTTTTTCTTCTTCACTATACCAACACCATGATAGATATTTTTTTGAGTCCTTATTTTGATATCTAGCTATTGAGCAGAGATGGAAACTAAGTGGGAGAATCTCTGGGCTCATTAAGCTGCCATTTGGGGAAAAAGTCGGCCATAATCTATAGACAGTGTCAGAGAAAACACTTGTATTTAGTCTCCCTGCCCCCTACCCCCCCGAAGGAAATGGTCTTCGGCTACAAATACAAACATTGGTTTTTATAAAAAGTAATCAGATAAAACACCAGCAAAATCCGGCATTACTTCACAAAACCATTCAAATAGCTAAAAATGTCTTTTGGTTGGTTATCCCAGGAAAGAAGTAGCATCACCATGAAGTTTTCAAGCTCACAGAAATGAAAGCCCAGACAGAAATTTCGACCCGACTCAACAGGCTTCACGTACCCGCCCGCTGTGCAGCTCCACGCCGTAGAAGTCCAGGGTCCGAGCTATGTTGATGTAGCAGGACTCGGCTTCGGACTGCTTTAGGCCGCTGCAGATGAGAAACAGAGCCCCCCCAGTGAGGAGGGGTAAACATCTGTGCAAGGGGCACAGCCCCGCTCTCAGGTGACTGAATGCTGTCATACAGGGTAAACAAACTGTTCACCTAGACCCTCCTCCTCCTCCTCCTCCTCGCCACGGAATTGGACTTCACCAGGCCTGCTCCCTTCAGTGGGCTCTCAACAGCCAATTAGAGAAAGCCCCCTCCTTTCCAAGTTCTCAACCCTTTTATTCCAACTTGCTCAACTAATAAAGCAGTCCTTTCTTTCTGCGTTCAGCCTCTCAGCGGAGCCTCCAACCTCCAAATGTCACTGGCCTGGGACTATTTGGGGCGCTGACTTCTGTGGACGGATGACTGGCTGAGGCAGCTTAGGAGGTACGCTCGTTGCCTGGTCTTTGTGTTCATGGCCTTCGCAAGCCAGCCAGGTCCCCAGAGCCGGGAATCTCCGTTGACTGGCCCTCATTTAACTGGAACTAACAGGGGCCCCGGGGCTTTGAGTGAAATGAGGAAGAGAGAGAGGTAGCCGTGGTCGCTGAGGCTTACCGGAGGCATGTGCTGCAGGGCGGATGCTACTTGACTGGGAATGAGGCAGTTTTCACAAACCAGACCCAGGGAGGGCTGGGTACTCCCCTCTGCCTGTGCCTCTCTGTGTCTCTCTGCGAAGCACCTCTACCTTGTGACGTATGGGGTCGCCAGGAGTCAGAACTGACCTGATAGCACGGTGCTTTAGGTAGTGGTTCTCAACCTTCCTAATGCCACAACCCTTTTATACAGTTCCTCATGTGGTGGTGACCCCCCAACCATAAAAATTATTTTCGTTGCTACTTCATCACTGTCATTTTGCTACTCTAGTGAATCGGGCGACCCCTGTGAAAGGGTTGTCCGAGCCCCAAAGGGGTTGCAACCCACAGGTTGAGAACCGCTGCTTTTAGTTTTTGTTATCTACCCAGCAGTGCTGAAGGAATAGCCCGTTCTGTGAAGCAAGGTAAACTGCTCACAGGTGCTGCCTGGGAGGGCCAAGGGGTGGTGCGGTGATCGGGTTTTAACATGGGCATGTCCTCTAGGAATTCACAGACTTCAGTGGCATGGCTTTCTGAAGCAGCATGCTGCCACCATCACCGTACACTCCCAGTGAACCTGAGGCTCTATCGCCCTGCTGGACAGGCCAGCTATTCTGCCATCGGAACAGGTCAAAGCTTCAAAAGCCCCGGCACCTTGAAAGCGGATTCGTGAGCAAACAGAAGAGGAGGTGGCATCCAACACCTGCTGGTAAAAGGGCTGTAAGTAGCTGGCCGCAGTCCCAAGAGCCGACCTGACCTGTGCTGCTCATGGAGGGATTCCACCTTGGCTAGAAACTCATCGCTCTGGTCTGGAATAAACCGGCTATCGGAGAGATATCCTGAACGATGGATGGAAGAATTGTAGTCCCCCAAATGAGCTGTTAAGACATGAGGAGGGGAAATCATAATTAGGTTTGCCTTTTCAGCATGATCTGCATTGACGAGCAGCCACGGCACCACAAGAGAAACATTCCTGGAACCTACCCTCTGTACACGGACTGAAATCCATTTTCAACATTAATTGAAAAATCCGTCTACATCTCAGCTTCACATGAGCTCCAGATTCTACACTTATTGTCTGCACCCTCGCTGCAGGATAAGCGCTCATACCCCTAAAAACCAACCTAATTCTCACCTTGCGCAAGGCCACACAGGGCAGGAAAATAGGGTTTGAACCAAGGTCATATTCCAACCCCACTCCTTCTCATTACTCTGGTTAGTTGGCGGTTTGTGCTCACACTCCCAGATGACAGTGAAAGCCCAACATCCACTTGCAGGGTCCCCAGGGGGATTAAGCCTCCGGGGAATCCCCTCTAAGCACATTCCAGGATGTGACTGGCCTTGTTATCAGGCAGTTTTGCAAAGTTGAAGATGGGAGATGCAGTTGGGATAAAATGTAACACCATTTGATTTTTCCTTATGACCTATTTTAAGTTTGTCCCAGTTTTTAGTATTTTCTGTGTTCTTTTTGCCATGGTGGTTTGTTCTTGGCTTTGTTCTGTATGTGAAATGCAGGCTAGGTACATCTCGAGAGACAGTAACTGGTGGGTTGATACACGGGGACATGGGGAGGGGTAGGAGGAAATGGGAAGCTAATGATACCCACAAGAGGGAAGAAAATGTTCTAAACTTGATTGTAGCGACGACTGCACAACTCTTCTTACTCTTCTTGATGTGACCGAACCGATTAATTAATTTTATGATATGTGAATTATATGCAAAACCAAAACAAAGCCCTTGGGGCAATGGTACCCTCTGGATGGAGGGGGTCAAGGGTCAATTCTGGAGAGAAATTTGGGGAAGAGCAGAAAGCCAAGTGATTTGGGTCGCCCTGGTCAAGGGTAGACCACGAGGGCCAGTCCAAGGTGGCCTGGTCACGCCACAGCAGGAAATGACAGTGCGTGATGAAACAGTGTGGCACACGGCATGACAATAGTGTATCTCTTGTTATTGTTGGATGTCGGGTCGTTGCCGCTCAATGGCGACTCTATTTGGCTGAGTAAAACTGTCCCAGTGGGTTTCCTAGGTTATAATCGGATGTTCTCATTGGATGGACAGACAAGTCTTTTCTCCAATAGAGCTGCTGGGTAGCTTCTGACTGCTGACCTTATGGTTAGGGAGGTGAATGTTTAAGCACTCTGCCATTAGGGCCGCTTGTAGGGCGTTTATAGAAAACCCTCTGGGTGCCCTGACAACAGGGCCCGAAGCAAGGGAAGCCTGAGAAAGTTTTAGAATCACCTCGTCCAAACCCCTCATTTTCAGGGGTGTTCCGGAGAGGAGGGGCTTGCCCCTACTGCAGAAGCATTGCTCAGCAGAGTTCAGAGCCCCAGCGGTATTCCTCCCCCCACCAGACTCCTTGCAGGGAAGGGGCCCCCAAGCTGCACGGGCCACTTGTTGGTGACAGTGGTCATGGGCCCCAAAGGGCAACCAACACTGCAAGTGGCTTTCCTGAGTCTCCAGGCAGTCCCGTTAGATGTCACTCTGCTGGACTTATGAGCTCACAGAGACCTCTCTGGATCTTGCTGTGGACCGCCATGGCTCTGGGGTAATGAAGAGTCCTTGCTGCCCACGGGAAGAGCAGCTGAGCTCTCCTCCCCAGGGAAGGGACTTCCTATAACCGTCCTAAGCCATTTACTCTGTGCAGTGCCCTGTGCTAACCACTAGAGGGACACAAAGTTACAATCATACCCAACATTTTCAAAGCAGAGGTGGCTTCCATGTGATCCAATTACGTCATCCCATTTGACGCTTGTTGTCACCCATTGCTTTTATCCCCATTAGACAGATACGATCATGGAGCCTCGAAGAAGGGGCTTGCCCATGTTGCATGGATGGTGATTTGCAGCCAAGATTCTGATCCCAGAATCCACATTCTTGTGGGCTGTGCCCCAAATCCTGGACTTAGACTGCGTGCCTATTTGTGGGGAGGCTGGCAATGACCGCAGACAAACCAGTGCTTCCATGAGGGACGCAGAGGCCTGGTGGTGCTGTCAAGCAAGCCCTGGAAAGCTAGCCACAAGGTCAAGTTCAAACCCACCAGCTGCTCGAAGGGAGAAAGACGAGGCTGTCTGCCTCTGCTCCTGTAAAGATTTACAGCCTTGGCACCCGATAAAGGGTTGCTATGAGTCGGAACAATCTAGATCAGTGGTTTCTCAACCTTCCTAATGCCGAGATCCTTTCATACGGTTCCTCATGTGGTGGTGAGCCCACAACCATAAAATTATTTTCGTTGCTACTTCATCACTGTCATTTTGCTACTGTGATGAATTGCAAGACCTTTGTGAAAGGGTCGTTGGACCCCCAAAGGGGTTGCGACCCACAGGTTGAGAACTGCTGGTCTAGAAGGCAGCAAGTGCATTTTAAGGGGATGAGGGAATAGTTTGTCTTTTAAGCTCCACACTTTCCTCTAGCTAATAATCGGCTTCGTTTTGCCGCAAAGCCAAGCCAGAGTATGTCCCAAGTCTCCAAGGGTCTGGCCTTGTAAGCTCTGAGAAAACCTCTTTGGCCTGGTGTTCACCCCACTCCAGCTAGCCCTCTGAGGCTGCTCCCTCTCCATGTCTCTCAGCGGTGACTGGAGAGACGTTTGCGGCCCTGGGGTTCTCAGGGAGATGGAATCCCATGAGGACGGCAGAGGCTGTGGACAGCGGATGCCCTGTGCGGGATGCGCCTGCTGTGTCGTGGGTTCTGCTGGGAAAACCCTCCTTTGCCCTAGAGCAGCGTGCAAGTCAAGGTAAGAGGTGCCCTTGCTGCCCAGCAGGCCTCCTCGGGAAGAGGTGCCAGGACTCGGTCCAACAGGGGAGAGCCAGTGACCTTCTTCACACATGGGTCAGACCAGCTTCCCCTCGCGACTTACATTGCACAGCATAGGAGGCCAGGACCACGGCCGAGTTCAGAGGGCAGGCTAACCTGTGAGGAGAAAAACACCTTAGGGAAGTCATGACAAACAGCAAGAGCCTGGCACACTCCCAGATCGCAGGTAAGGCAGGTCCTTCTTCCCTGGACCAGCCATTGAAAGGCCAACAGCAACACGGACTGCACACGACCAGGTCCGTTTTATGACTGTTCTCCGTCTAGGAGAGAGCAGTGTCAATAACCCCACAGAGGTTTGATTTAACAGGATAGCTTTTCATGTTTAAAATACACACATTTTAGTACAGATAGCCATGAGGTGAAGGTCCATTTGGCCAGCTCTGCCCAGTCAGGAAAGGTCTTTACCTTCCATTCCCAAGGAGAACGAGGAAACTGTCCTCTGAGATCAACAGGCGGCCACCTCTTTCTAGTAAAGACGTGAGACGGTGTTGGGGTTGCTAAGGAAATGCCCGGGCTCTACTGGCACCAGTGAGTCCAATGGTCTGTTTGCTCTGTTTTCCTGCCCAGCACCCATTCCTCATCAACGGACGACTCCAGGCTGGACACTCTCTCCTTTCCTCTCCAACTCACGCCCCTTCCAAACCCCGTTTTGCCAGTGGAGCCCCCTCAGTCTTGTCGAGGTTCAAATCCTTCAACAGCTCCTCTTTCCTCCATTCAGCTACCCCTCACCTGGTCTCCCCAGGGGTTCTGCCAGTACACCTGGAGCAAGGCTCACTGCTCTGTGGAGGAATGCAGTGGGGGAAATCGGATCAGGAGCAGCAGGGGGGAGGACCTGCAGGGTGGGGCAGGCCCGAAAGCAGATTCTGCCAGGGTGTGGGGTCGGGGTGTGGGGGTGATGTGAACTCCCCCAACCGATGTTTTTAAGCATTCTTCCCAACAACCCAGGGGCAAGAGGGGACCATGTGCTGTTTCTATCCAGGGCAGCCCATGACGTTCCTAAGATGTGAGTCACCACTCCACCTCTGTGACTAGTCTGTACAGCTGGCCAGGGGTTCTATCTTTCCTGTCCGCTGCCTGGTCTGCTGGTCCTAAAGTGACATACACAGACAGCTTTCCCTAAATTAGGGGACCCAGTCTTTCCCTGTGTAACTGTATGTTCCAACTCCAACTTCTACCTGATCTATCCAAGTCTACAGGTTTGTCCCAGGGGTCCTCACCATCGGTGAGTGCGTGAGGAAACCCAGCGTTCTCGGGGACAGCAGGCAGAGAGACACTTGAAGAGGAGTGGCCATTCACGTGGACGCTAGTGAAACTCAAGCCAGTGTCCCTTCTGAGGTGAGCAGAGCAACTAGGGAGAGCCTGGGAGAGGCCAGACCAGCCGGGAGGAGCGCTTCTATGAGGAAGGGAAAAAAGACACACTTCCGATGGAACCATGTGGAGACGGTCGTTAGAAGGTGGCCATCCTGAAAAAGTACCAAAACGCCTGTTTCTATCCGCAATGTAGCTACAAACGGGCGCTGTGCTCTTAGAGAGACCTCTTTCTTTTCCTGTCCAGCAAGAGCCTTGACAGAGAATGGTTCTGGGGGAGTCCAGACAGGACGGAGGTGACATGCTGGCTCCAGGCCAACAGTCCTTAGAGGGAAGCTAACTACGCTCAGCCATGGCGGTCAAGACGTCCGCAGCCACACGTGGCCAGCACCACCGTGACGCACACCTGAGCAACATTCTGTCTTAAGAGACCCGCTCCTCAGAGGTGGTGAGGGCCACCTACAGACCTCCAGGAGATGCCAGGGATCTAAGCTCGGGCACGGCCTCAGGTGTCTAGTGACTCGGGGGATATTTCCCCTGGGGAAGATAAGCACGAAAGGGAGACATTTCTAACATTTGGGGGGCTACAGAGAAAGCTCCCAGAGGGCAGGGGCCAGGCCTTCTTTGGCTCGCACAGTACTTGTCCCACAACAGATGCTTGCAGAATTGTGGGGAAAACAAATGAGTGTTTCAATCGCTTCAGCGAGTGGCCTGGACCAAGGAGAGGGCGGTCATTTCAATCTAGCGGTATCCAAAAATGTAGCAAGGCTGCTCCTGAACAGAAAGCTCCCCATCCCCGGGAGTGGCCTGGCAGCGGTCCAGAGGCCGGCACATTACGCCGTAGGAGGAAATCATGTCTGCCGACCATAAGATCAGCCAAGTAACAACAACAATAACCTTCCATTCGGAGGCTGCTAAACAATCAGGCTCTGATGACCTTCTCTTCACGACCACTCCTGTTCCTCACACCGCCATACTCGTTGTCATGCCTCTGTCTCTAGCCCGGACCCCGGCCTGGAATTTCCTAGTGCCTTCTGGGCTCCCCTTGGGTCCGTTCCGCCATTGAGATGGTCCCGATCTACAGAAGTGCTGAGTCATGAGCAGATGCTTGTGTCTTTGAGCCACACGCTTCCCTGAGAGAGAAGAATCATCCCAGGGTCTACGTGGATGTAAACGAGGCCCGAACTGCCTTCCTGAGGATGAAGCCCATTCCATATTCCGGGCCCTCCCTCGTTCCCTGTAAGCTTCTCGGGTCTTTACCAGAAAGATGAAGGCACCTTCTGCCCGGAAACCGAAATAACGAGAAATGAACTTTACCAACCCCAAGCCTCTCCAAACCGAGTCCGAGGGAAAAGCAGATGCCCGCAGCCTCACGCGGCTGCAGCACAAGATGCAGCGTCCGGCACTCACTCGTTCCCGGCAGATTTAATGTTGCCACGGGAAATGCATGCTCACTTGATCAACCGGAAATTTTGCCCATCTGACAACCAACAGGAAAAGAAAAGTTCAAATTTCTCATTACCTTCCGTCACAAATGTCCATCTTCAGTTGCAAGAAATACAAATGCCTACAAAAAATGGTTTCCATTAATTTGTATTCAAATTGAGACAAACAGACACAGTTTGCTAAGGGTAGCTAGCCCCTGCACATGGGAAAACATGGACTCCAAGAAGCACATGCCTGGCTGAGGCCTCAGGCTCTTTGGAACACTGTAGAGTCCCCTCCTGGTGACAATTCCTACCTCCAATGAGGGGTAGGAATAACTTCTAGCCAGCCTCAGCCTAGCATGTGCTCTTGTGGGACTGCTGAAAGCTGTGTGTGTGTGTGTGTGTCCGGTGGGTGGGGGGAACAGGGAGTAACCCACTACAGATGGGCTCCTGCTTTGGCCGGGAAGCCTCCCGCCCTCAGCCTGGGCCATCCTCATGGAACTCAGGCACGGTGAGCACCCGGCCCCACAAGCCTGCTGCACAGTCAGCCCACATACACTGCCGAGGCGCTGTTGGGAACAAAATGCCAGCCTTACACACCCACGGGCCCTCTGTGTGAAGTTGCTGAGAGGAGGAGGGTCTGCCGAGACATCTCCTTGGCTGGGGTGCAAACATGCAGCTGGGATTTCCCCCCTGTCCCAGGAACCATGGGTGTTCAACACAACCAAACAGGCTCATTGAGGCAGGAATGCGGCCAGGTCCTCCTGGGTGCCAGCAGCTGCAGCTTCAACGCTGGGACTTGAGTTATGGTGGCAAGTCAGCGCAGGTCCCTGGGCTGTGGGTCCGCTCCCTGGTGTGTGGGCAGCAGGGACCCGCAGGCTCACAGCACGGGCGGCACTGACCAGGGCTCCCCCGGAGAGGGTTATATTTAGGGCAGTGGCACACACGTGACACTCGGCTGTGAGCACCCACTCTTTGTAAAAACCCACATTCCCATAGGGCAAACACTTCCCTGTCTGGCTGAGAAGGCAAACAGAAAAGCTGCTGACACATCAGACAGATGCGGCAGAAGGGCTGAGGGGCAGGGGAGCGGCCAGGTTGGTAATTTGGGCAAGTCAGTCTCATTACCCCTCTTATTTATACATGTACAGGCCACGGCGCAGGCCATGGACACAGGACTGCTTCTCATGGTAGCTCTTCTTCCTGTGTGCCCACGTCTGGGCAGTTTCTGACCCATCACCTCTTTCATCTCAGAACCTCCCCACCCCCTGCCCGCCCCCCCACTCCCGACTCAGTAGGTACCCCTGTCACCGAAATGCTTAGGATGGATTTAGCAGCCCTGACAGTAGGACGTTGGTTAGAATTATCTTTGGCTACTTACAATGTGGGAGGGGCTGACGAGGTTTTCGACTCCTGTAAAGACTCCGTCTGGACACCCACACCAGTCCTACCCTGACCTGTAGGGCCGCTAGGAGAGGAGCCCCCTCCTCGAGGGACCCACAATGTGTTCGTTAACACTTGACACACACAAAGGGGCCTCACAGAGCTGATGGGAACACTCCACGATCTTTTCCTTCCAGGGTCCCACCAACTTCCTGAAGCCCCCTCCTGCTGGCTGAGTCGCACCTACTCAGAATCTATTCATTCTGCCTCGGCTTGTTTTTATGTGCCCCCAGCTCGCCACTCAACCAGAATGAAATGGTCTCTCCCACATGCTACAAAGAGAAGGGAGCGCAGGGTGGGAGTTCAGAGTTCACCCAATGGCAAACTGTCGAGCCTGTATCTTCCCAGAGACAGGCGTGAGACGGTGAACCTAGACGTCACCCTCTACCAAATGCCACCTACCTTGCCAGTCTAGTCACTGAAGTTTCGGTGGCAACCCCACGAGGCCATAAAAGAGAAACCGGAGGAGTGGGGTGTGACCCAAACGTAGGAGACACCTGGCCATCTCCAAGGTTTGAATCTGAGGTTGCCAGGTACGTGAAGCTCCAACCCAGCAGAGTCTGGACGGACTTCCCAGCAGCAGCCACTCGGGGGGTTGGGGGGCTAGCTCGGACATTGACATTGAGACCCGCATTCAACCACCCGAATCAGACAGCGTTACTGAGAAGACATCACTGGCATGCCTTCCTTTGGAAATGTAATCATCAAGCCTAGAGTGAGCCTCCCGCTCATCCACGACCTTGATTCCAGGGAAAAAGCTCTGTGTATCCCTGCCTAGATCCTAAAAAAGAAACCAAAAAGCAGCCATGGCAATGACTTCCTTTCTGCTCCCTCTTTGACTCCTCAGAGCTCAAATCCCTGAAAAAGGAACTCACTCTGGGCTCGGCGAGACAGCTGGGGCTTAATACAATTAAGCCCGGGGATACAGATACGTCACATTTACGTGAAGAGCAAGGTGTAGGTGTGCACACATGTACACAAAGATGTATGTAACCAAAATCAAACACATGGCTGTCAAGTCTACTTCAACTCAGCAATTCTATAGTGCTCCCGTAGGACAGAGATGCAACTGCTGGCCGGCCCAACTGCTGACTTTCCCTGGTGGCACAGTGGTGAAGTGTTTGGCTGCTAACTGAGAGGTGAGTGGTTTGAACCCACCAAGGGGAACGATGTGGCAGTCTGCCGCAGTAAAGATTCACAGCCTTGGAAACCCTATGGGACGGTTCTGCCCTGTCCTATAGGCCCTGTGTGTTGGAACCAAGGTGACAGCAATGGGTTTGGGTTTAGTACATGTACACACACACACACACACACACTGTTGCTTAAGGATGTCTTAAAGAGAACTTAGTCTTTAGTAATAATACCCTGGGGGAACCCTGCCAGAGGTGTACAAAACACATCTTAAAAAAGTATGCCACCAGTTTGGTGTCTCTCAACTAACCTATGGAGCAGGACATTTCTATGCCCCGCGCCGCGCCCCCCTCCCCCATGTCCCATGGGATGTACAAAAGCTGCTGCTGGAGAAAACAAAGACACCACGTGCATTTCCATGTGGCCGCCCAGAGTCATGGGAGACATTCCTTCTGCTGGCTTAACATGTCACTTGATAGTAAACACAGCGCGTCTCCAGTGTCTGCTATTTTAGAGGAGAGAGGTGTACGCCGAGGCCAAAACAGTCAAGGATTCATGTTTGGCTTCTGAACATATTACCCTGTGAGCGTGTGCTGATCATGTGCTAAGAAAGGGAGAAGGAAGGAAGACGTGTGGGCTGCTGGCCTGAGACCCGTGGCTTCCTCGGAGCCGGGCGTATGGTGGCAGGAAGCGCAGCAGAGGCGCCAACCACCCACAACAGCCTGGCTTTTCCCCTTCTCTAGTTTTCCTGTGAGATGGTTTCCACCTCTGAGACAACGAAAGGCAGCCACACCAAGAGGGCTTCCTGCTGTGGGTGGGGAGAGAAAGGAGTTGCCAACTGAGTTGGCACCGTCTGTACGTAAACAGCAACAATGGCGCTGCGTCCTCCCTGTCCATCCACTCCAAACCACCTGTTCCCCACCTCCAAAACCCACGTGCCAGTACCACACCGGGCCAGGCGGACTCCTGGCCCTCGGGGGTAAACAGCTCTGATCAAAGTCCTCTGCCCTTATCTGGTTCACCTGGTTTCCTGCCACCTGCTGAGTCACCTGGGAGAGGAGCTGGGCCAAGAGAGCCTACGTTCCTCTCTAGCTCTAGCAAGGTGGGGGTGCGATGGGGGCATGCTTAGTGGGGCCTTCGTGTTTTCCCAAACAACCTCAACTTGAGCCCTTCTGAGAGACTGTCTTTGGTGACCCATGGGTGCCTGTATTACATGTCTCACCTTCCAACCTGTTTGCATTCCTAAGAGATGGCTGCACTGAGCAAAAGCACCTTGTGCAGTAATT